ACAAGCACTGTCTTAAACTCTTGGCTTGCATATCCATGCAGAACGAACACGTTTTTTAGTCCTGGAATAAATCAAAAATCAAGTGTGACAAACGTTTTCGGTGTCTGACGTAGATAGTCACATAGGTTGAATGGTAATCTAACTAGCATACAAAGTAGTCAAACTGTCTCGGTTATTAAACACTTGTCACGAAAGCACCGTTCAGAGAATTGTTTTCAGTGAACTTCTTCACAACCACAATCACTATCGGAATCGCTATTGCGATCAACCTACGAGATAAGATGCAAATCAATGACGTGTGTATATATAAAGATAAATATATGTTAGTGATTACATTTGATTAGGCTAACGATGAAATGACATTTTGTTTATTTACAAGCACACTGATTGTCTGATGTCTTTCAGGAAATGTACAATGTTTGTCCATAACTTTTGTAAGTCTCAAAATTATCTCGAAACTTATTTGATCATATTTTGACAAAAAGATACAGAATTGACAAGTAATGAAGTGAATAATTTGCATTTGTTTGAATAAAAATTTATAATTAAATGAGTGCAAATCACAGCAAGCCTGGTTTGATCGAGAAATCATGTCAATATGCTGACATAATATTCAATAAGTATTTTTCTGGAAATTTTACTGACCTTCTGAATCAGAAACGAGTAGATCGACTTTGAAAAGAAAATGAAATTCTCATTAATTTATATAACCATATATATGACATATTTCACAATGATTCAATTTAAATGGTTTAATTTTAATTAACAGAAAAGAAGTAATGTGGAAAGACTGTCGATAACTTACGCGAATAAAACAGCAATCCATAATTGTTCTATGAAGTTACTTACAGATAAAATTTGTCCCGCAATGGTCGAAGAATATCATAATTACAATCTGAGTAATTTACGATTTAGAAAAACTGATTGCGATGAACGATGTGATTGCTATTTGTATTGATGTGAAAATGAGAACCTGTAATCACGGACAACCATAAATGAAAACAACAGAGTACTTTGATTGTGTATAAGGATACAACCATCAAACTATCAGGTTTCCGCAACTTATTCACTGCAGATTTTGAAGTGTACGTCGTTGGTATATTCAAAGCGACAGCAGACCTTTTCGTGATACTTGACCTGTCAAAAACAATAGGATCAAATATATATTTCAATGTTTCATTGAAATGTTTTGAGATTATCATAATTTCACTTGTTGTGAAATGTGAACATGATTGTAAATTGTGTCCCCGATTGTTGAAATAAATGTTTATCCCGCAATAGTGTGCAATGCATTGAAAGCAGACATAAACGGATTTAGATGATAAAGTCATAGATGTATATGGTCAACTTGCAACAATGTCTGTCAGGGAAGCAACTCAGTGTTCTTATCTACCACATAATTTTCGAACGTGACATAAGCATCAGTGACGAAAGTAATAAAATTTGTTGATTAACTTTTGCTTGTCATCTAGAAAAGTGGAATGTCTTGGAGATCAGCATTCTTCAGGCGACTTTCTACTCAGACCATCTCCCTAGGTTTACCTACTCGCTATTCATTTTTCCACTGTTTGTCTTGAAATATGTCCCTCGATCTTCCTCATCGCAATTGACATTTAGTCTTAATAGTGGTGGCCTAACCTGTGACGCTAAATTAGGGTAGTACTGAAGATATCTGTCCAAAGAATCTGACGTTTTCCGCGTGTGAAACTGTTGATGAACACTTATGTCTTCTGTTTGAGTTTTTTTCATGTTTCCATTACATACAATGGAACTGTGGTGACGTATGTTTTGGCGTTGATTGATGATTGTTTATAGCTGCAGATTTTGTTCTCCTGTAGATATTCTGTACTTGCTTTTCCTAACCACGTCCTAACGTCTTCATCAGATCCACCATCATTCAAAATATCGTTCGAATCAAGTGCTCAGCAAAACATTATGACGTATTCGTAATGCAGCCGATCACCAATATAAAGTTTACCCGACACCGATTCTCAATTCGAACGAATATACAAGCACTATTTCGCAGCTTGTTCCACTGATATAGTATTACTGAAAAGAGTCTAAATATAACAGGCTGATACAGTTCCACCCTTCCTTTTGTTGATAATTACAATCGTCCTCCGCAATTGTCAAAACAATCATTTCGTGCAATGACGGTAATGACTGAAAATAACTATTTTTCGAAAAACTCACCTGATCACTTATCATAACTAGTCTGCTCATAAAATCTCATTTATATAACAATGACCTATGAGCTTCACTGTGTACAGAGGAAAATGATAGATAAAACATAAAGTAGAAAAAATATTTCAGTTAGGTTGTATTTTCGGCACTTTTGAATAGACTTGTATATTTATTTGACAAAATAAAACACACTTCAAAACAAATAATAGTCTTTGAAATATTCGAGAGTTTTTTCAGTGATTTCGGCATAAAGATGTTAAGGAAAAGAATAAAGTTCAGTTATTCAGTCGTGGAGATATCTATTTTAGTCAAAAACCACTTTATTAACAATAGTAGCCATCCTGCTGCTAGACTTTGTTTTCCAACCAAAAATTTGAGAATCATGAGTTCATGAATTACTCTCTAAACCAGCATTTTTTTCTCTGTATGTACTGACCATGAAGTCATGTGCTAATTATCTTACTTCACGCCTTTGTTCTTGTCCTCAATTTGCAGTATGTTATTCAATTATTGAGGAAATACGTATTGTAACTGACGACTTTATATCCCTTCAAATTTAGAAAAATGCACAAATCGTTTGGAACTCGAAACATTCAAAAAATTAACAGCATTGTGTAGCTCATTATTGTCAAATTGTAAGTTAGCCAGTCAGTCAAATCCAGCTTACAAGTTGTTCTGCAGGTACTTCATTTCAGGCTAGCGAACATAGAGTTTTCTACATGTTGAGTCAAATTCCGTAGTATCTGAGATATTTAAAGTACTAACGTTTGAAGATAGTACTCTAAGTGCTCAATTGAGTGAAGTCAAATTGAGAACGGAGATGATCAACACTCACCATCTTCCGTCAAAATTCACCATTACGATCTTTACCTACTAACATAACTCAGTCTACATGTCAATGACATTATGTCTTTGTGCAAATTTCAAAAAAATTAATGTCATTCTTTGAAATGTATTTCTGTTATTCGTTGCTTTAATCAGTAACAAAAAATAAAGTGTTTTTTTATCAATCCGTCATCATGTGGTTCAAACTACTCTCAATACGGCTTATGATATGTCATGATATTTCTTAAAAACCTGTGACAAAATCAACGTTGCTTCTTTGCGACATGCAGTAAATAAGCATTCTTGTGG